CAGGGACTGGACAACACTGAGTGGAATCGGTGGCAAAAGGGCTGTGAATGTGTCCGTGGGCCGCTCCAGCCTGGCGGGGAGGAGAGGGCCGGTGCTTGGCTGGCGTTTGTTTCAGGAACAAACTAAGATGGTGTGTACGCTTGCTGATGGCGTGGATGAAAAGGGAAAGATCATTTGCTGTGCTATGGTCAGCTCTGTGATTAGAATTTGGTTTTATTTTTTTAAATGATAACCTAACCCATAGTGTTTCACGGGTGGTTGCTCAGATGAGATTTAAGTCAACGGGTAAACAAAATTTTATGCAATCATTAATGCAACTGATATCATCTAGATACAAATTTTACAAAGCAGAGACACTACAAAAGAATCCTTCTTATTTCATGTAGGTATCACATTGCTTGATCAGAAGAACATTTTTTGGATATCCCATAACTAAGGCAGGTTCTGGTCCGCTCCAGCAGACTAAAGGTAAGAAAAGATTTGTTTGGGTTTCTGCCCTGTTTCAGCCTTATACCAAGAGGTGACATTTCCTGCAGCAACTTGGCAGCTCCTCTCCTGTACAAATCCTACTCATCGTTCTGGTTTTGTCTAGATGTTTGTTTGAGGTTCTGCAGAACACGAAGTTCTACAACAGCTGCTGACGCACCTGGAGAGGACATCATACTCAAATGGGGTCTTTTCCTGGTCCCTCTGACCGCATTCTGTCTCGGCACTTGGCAGGTACAAATAATTATCTCATTTTTTCAAGAGATGAGCACTTGAGGGCTGTCAGGTTTTTCTTTTTCTGGCTCTTTAATCTAGTTCACATCACATGCAGGGTAAAGATTTACTGTTATTTTACATTTCTGTTTTCGAAGTGTCCATTTGTAAGTCTTTAAAGGACAGGTTCTTATTTTTTACACTTTTATTTCAGTGTAAATATTTCCTCGAATTAAAGTTAGTAGCCTCCTTTTTCATATGTCCAATTACCGTGTTTTAAGCCAGATCTGAGAAGAAACTTGTGACAAAGATTTTAAGGCTTTCTGGGGTTGTCACATTGCTCTGTTCTACCATAAGGAATTACTTTTGTGTTTGTGTACTTTCAGGTTCAGCGACGAAAGTGGAAATTAGATTTGATTGCACAACTGGCATCAAGAATTACATCAGAGCCCATCTCTCTGACATTAGAGTACGGAAGCTGAGATACTTTATGAGACAGTTTATTGTCTGCAGAGCACTGACCGGGTGCTGGGGATATTGATATGGTCCCTGCGCTAATGAGCTTATGCTAAACTAAACTGCATGAAAATGAAGGAATCCAGTGGGAATCAGGACGTGCAAGCAAATTAGAAAGATAGACATCCTGTTAATTTTCTTATTTTTAGTAAAAGAGCAATTGAATGCTTCCCTGTGGGATACTCTAAATGCACATATAAAGGATGAGTCTCTGTTCAGGAGAACGTGGTATGTGGTTCATGCCATATGGAATCCTCCGGGAGAAGGACAACTTGGTAGCTGGTGCCTGGGATGTCCCAGAGGGATTATTCTTGCAACAGGGAGTCTTGGATCGATAGCAGCCGCTGCCCCAAGTGGGGACCAGTTGTGTCAGATATGAGAGAGGCTTTTAAGGTCCCTTGGCCGCATGGCACAACTGTCAGAACAGTCCAACTGTTCAATTCCATGGTCTGGGATGGGAAAGAAATGCTCCCTGTTAGCTGGAGGCACATGCAGCGTATCCACCTGCTGTGTGCGCCATTGGAGTGGCGCTGGGTTAGAGATATCATGGAAAAGAACTGCTCTCTGGATACTCACAGTCATCTCAGTTTGATTCACTCTGATAGTAATAAAATATTAAGCCAGCTGCTTATATCATGAGGTGTTTGTCTTCTGTTTCTGTTTGCCAGCTGGCTCTAGAGTGAACCATTAGGGAAAAAGAGAATCCCACGATAAAATCCCCTAATTTGATTTTCCTGTTGCAGCCATGATCTTGTTTTCATCTTGTTCCATGCAGCCCCATGGAACTGAAGGAACTGGAGTACAGACCTGTAAAGGTCCGAGGGCATTTTGACCACTCCAAGGAGCTCTATATTCTGCCACGGTCACTCGTGGACCCTGGGAGAGAAGCCAGAGAAGCGGGGCGGCTGACATCCCACCCGGAAAATGGAGCCAATGTCGTTACTCCTTTCTACTGCACGGAACTAGGGTGAGTTAATGAAAGTCATGGTTCAGGCGAGCAGCTCGCTTCTGTTTTGAAAAGGTGGTTGGGTTTATATAAATGGCCCCCTCTCCCTTAAAAGGCATCTCTGGCAGTCTGTTAGGTCACTGAGGCTTGGTTGGAAATAGTATTTAAATTCCTCCATAATGTGCACTTAGATGACAAAAAAAGTGGCACCAAACACGTGGGTTGCTTCTTTCTTTGCTACTTAGTTCTAGGGAACAGCAAGAATAAACTTCCTTTCACTCATGAGCCGTGCTTCTTTCTGTAACTCCAGGGTCACGATTTTAGTCAACCGAGGATTTGTGCCCAAGAAGAAACTGAAACCGGAGACCAGGCTGAAGGGACAGGTGAGGGGGATACAGGGGTGCTGCGTAGTGCTTCTGCCCTGTGGTCACCCGGACGCACCACTGACAAACCAAGAATGGGAGTAGCCACGTTCAGCAGCATGGGAGGCTACTTAAACAGTCACTGCACTTTTCAAGGAAGGCAAACCTTTTCCTCCCACCTTTTTAAGTAAAGAATGTTTTTAACAAACAAGGAGCTGTTCTTGCCCTGCTTTTTTCCCTGCTGTGTTGCAGCTCTGTCCCAGTGCAGGGCACAACCACTTGATTTATAATCAGACCCCACAAATGCCTTGTATTTCTACCAGGACCTGGTATGCCAGAATATGAAATGAACCGTGAATTATTCCTTTTTTGTCCTCTGCGCTTCTCTTCAGATTGAAGATGAAATTGATCTCACTGGGGTGGTGAGGTTATCAGAAACCCGGAAACCTTTTGTGCCTGAAAACAACATTGAGAAAAACCGCTGGCACTACCGTGACCTGGAGGCTATGGCAAAGGTGACCGGCGCCGAGCCCATCTTTATCGATGCAGATTTCAGTAAGTCACCAAGGAACCCAACCCCACCTGCAGTTTACATCAGTCTCCCCCCGTTTCCGTTCAGTTATTTCCCCATGGCACTTGACAAGGTAGAATCATAGAATCATTCAAGTTGGAAAAGACCTTTTAAGATCGTCGAGCCCAACAAGGTACCTTTCTCTTTGCATACTCTGCTAGGCCTGTTTTGAAGGTGGCAGGCAGCCAGCCCTGGGGAACGGTAGCATGCTCGGGAGTGATGCAGGTGGTGTGCTCGATGCCGTGAGCACGACCAGCCACTCGCTATAGGGCCGCCTGCCCCACAGCTCTGGCTTCGCTGGTAACTTGGGAACACCGCTGCCTGCGGGAGAGGAGCGGGCTGTCCCCACGACTCCTCCCGCGTCTCACGGCAGGGGCAGCTCCGCGCGTGCAGGCTGGGGATTTAACGCGTGTTAACCTGTGTCGCACCTGTAGGAAGCACCGTCCCAGGGGGGCCCATCGGAGGCCAGACCAGAGTCAGCCTGAGAAACGAGCACATGCAGTACATCGTCACCTGGTGAGTTACCCAGCCACCTTCCACACAGTTCCTTAGGGTAGAGCTTCGAACTGCATTCTGCTGAAAGCAAAGGAGCAATTTTTGCCTGGCATTCTTGCTCCTGTATCAGTAAGACTGGATGAGCTCTTAAGCTACAAAAACCTGAAGTTTTAACCCAAGTAACATTTGCAAGGCAATTTGAAATAATTGTGCTTTATTGCACCATAGCTGACTTAGGGAGGTCCAGTCCATCTTGAAAAGAAGGTGTAAGTGCGTGTTTTTCTTCCATAGGTATGGCTTATGCGCTGCAACTTCATTCTTGTGGTACAGAAAATTT